CTGTGATCAGCACAATCTGTGCGACTGCCCTTCTTGTATATTGCTACTATAATCGATTCGCACTAATTAGCCGGGACACTTTCTTCCATATACGTTCGAATAGGGAAGTCAGTGCTTTGCAGAGGCCCTCCCCTCCATCCTCAAATAGTGCAGATAGGAGGGAATCCGGGCCAACAGCAGTAAAACGATTGAGGACTGTGATTGCGTTTTGGACCTCCGCCTCCGATGAAGCCACTACACTAGCCACCCATGACTCATCTTGCATCACCTGAGTGGGAAGACGATCGGGAGGGGTGGCCAACTGAACTGATCTTGAAAGTGTTCCACCCATCCAGCAATGCGGTGGCTCTCGTTGTGTATCAGTGTACGCGCGCTGTCTCTGGTCGTCCCACTAACTCGTGGTTTCCTGGGACTGGTGGTGCAGATCGGCTAGAAGAGCTTGCGATAATTGCATACGACTCCTGCCTCCTCCATTTCTTGAGCCTGAGTGATCCACCGGCCTTCCTTTTAGGCATACAGGCTCCGCTTTAGTTCACGCCTAATAGCCCGCCTGATGACATTATGCTCAGAGTCAGTCGGGTAGTTTCTTCTCGATTCCAACAGGTTCACTGACCTCTCGGATATCCAGTGACTGGTGCGGTGACGATTGATAGTCCACAAACAGATGCTCCTGCTTCCTGCATGGTAGCCGAGATCATATTCCACAGTAGCACAGTGTCATTAGGACAAGACAGCGAAACTTCGGTACGCAGCGCGTCTTTATAGCCTTGCTTGATCGAAGGCTGGGACAATTTCTCCGTTTCCAATCGGGGGAGACGCTTGGAGAATCGACAGCGTACTAAGGCGTGATCAGAGTCGATGTTGGTACTCCAGTATGAGCGGCAACCCAGGATGGAACCACGCCACCCGTAACTTATGGCAAAGTGGTCAATTTGGGTCTATCGCTGGCCAGCTACAGGAGGGCGCCAAGTGGCCCACTGTGTCTAAAAGCAGTGCTACTAAGAAACCACTGGTGATCCGCACACTGTTGCAGCACTCGCTCGCCGTTGTCAGTCTATTCGGAGTTAAGCCCATAATTACCAACCAGCTGAGCTTGTGGAGAGCTCAGACGCCCTACTTGTGGGTTCATATCCTCTGCAGATACTGTGATATTTGGACTAGTAGCACTGCGTTGCAGCGCGTTCAGTTCGTGATAGAATGCGTCCTTAGCATCATTAGAACTGCATTCAATTGGGAGCATGAGCGGCAATCACAAACAAGCAGCGTTTGGTGCTACTTCGTGAATCAACTTGCTGATGTCGTCGAACGGACTGCACACAAACGACTGTTCACCGGAGTCCAATCAGCCAACATTGGATCAGCCTTGGAGCTTATAATGTTACCTACACCAGGTTGACCCGTGAGTGCTGCATCAACGTCTCCGGATATGTGCAACCAAAAGCGAAAGGACAAGTCGGGTGCAGTTAATGCAACGACCCCATTAGGGTCGCTGATCCGAGTTTCGGACACACAACACACATCAATACCTAGTGTGTCCAATATGCGTGTGAGTGCAGCCTGTTGACCTATTTGTCTTAGAGTGGAACGTTGAATGCCGCCAGCGAAACGGGACAGAGTGGCCTTGTAAGGGACTGTTGCCGTTAGACACCCGATGGGTGTTGGGGGAAGGTGGCTGCAGATGGTTATACTCCAGTGGCAGTTCGGTTGCTGTCAATTAATCTGGGTATTATAGAAGGAGGGTCAGTAATAAGGGTCGGAAAGGGAGTACGAGAAACAGTGAAAAAGAAAGAAGGGAGGCGCCAGCGATAGCATGTTCTCGCTTATCTGCAAAGATGTTTTCGGCAGATAAGTCAACTTTTGATAATCTGCGCGACGGCCGATGCAGGATGAAGTTTATGTTTTAAGAAAAAGTCATGGTTGTATGTGTGCTTAAGCAGCGGATGAAACAGGAAACGGTTTATAGTTGAATCAGGACATTCAAGAGCTTAAACGTCTTGATTTATATTTTGGCCTTTCAGTAACAGAGCACCCGTTGGTTGTTCACAGGTATGCCAAGCTCATCCCTCTCATTGCTGTCTGCACACGATGTGATAGATTTAAAGCAGTTAGTGCCCTTTAGAAATTTTGAACAATGTGGTAAGAGGACGATCGTTGTTAGATTCATGCGTTTCATATTGTCTCGTCAATACTTTTGACAATAACGGATATGCAAGTATATGAATAACTATAGCTGTGACCAAACAACTTGAGGTGCAAATTGAGTGACGGAAGTTCCACCCGAATGTCCATGACAGTCTTAAGCTCGCAAGTAATGACTTTTGAACGCACAGGGCTGGCTTCATCCGACTTATCGCCACAGCCTCGGCGAAACGAAGGAGGCGAGAATTTATCATTCAGTATACGCGTTAGCTAGAGGTGGGAAACACCTCAGCTACTGCGCCGAATTTATAAAAAAGAACAAACGGCATCAGTTGCATGCTAGCTGAGCTACCAGCCAACTACTATGCAACAAATGAAAATTTATTATGCAAACTTATATTGGGCTAATAACTGAGATCGTGGTTGGAGGGGGAGGCTAAGAGCGATGGGGTGGGACAAAGAAACTCATATCACGAAACGCCATTGAGATCGGCTTCTATCCATGTCAGCAACTGTATCTAGGTAAATGTGTTTATCGTCTTTTGGACCCCAACCAGGGAGCTGAGATGCTCTAACCAAGGCCAGCTTCGAAGTGAGGGCCTTCATTCCTTTCGACCAACTCATCGCTTGGCCACATCTCTTCTTCCATCCACGCAAACAACGCATGTCGTGGGAGCCGGTGGGTTGGCCTGCGTAAGACGTGGCCGAGTTGTCGGAGCCTGGTGCATGAAATAACGGCGGAAGCGACAATAAGAGTGACGTGACACGACTGTGAACGCCGATCCGCGCTGTATCCGGTGACGTGTGACCAGTAGGTGTCTGGTTACCTATTGAGGAAGCTTGCAGGCTGCTCGTGCACGAAGATTCAGAGGGGCAGGGATGCTTCTCAATTTCACTTTGAACCCACCTCGGCACGTGTTCCTTTTTTTCGGAAGTCAAAGACCGATCAGTTCTGCCTATGTAACTGGATCCGCGATCACATGCGAATTGGTATATGCAGTGTGAATTGGCCCAGATGTACTGATCTTCCTAGGTTGGAAGAACAGGCAAATTACGAGTTCGGTTTATGACCACAACTTCAGCAGCTGGTAACTTTTCTGCATAGCAGAAGTTAAACGTTAGTGGTATTGTGTAGGGAAATCATCCTTGGAACGCAACTCGATGTAGACCCTTTCTTAGCTGCTGTATGTACTACTTCCTTTGGGTCTCCCTGTTGACCGTGTTTCTCTATGAATCTGCGTGGATAGCCATGCGCCCTAAGCGTGGTTGTAATTAACTCTAGCTCATCGACCAGACAATCCGCCGAGAAGATTCGTCTGACCCGACTAACTAAATTTTTCACAAGTATTCCTTTGTACCGCAATGGTGTGAAGCTGGTCAAATGCTGGAATTGGCCGGACCATGTAGCTTTTCTGTAGACGGAACTTCTAACTAGTGCGCCATCCCTGCGACTGATAAGGATGTCCAAGAATAATAGTCAGTTCTTCTGCACCACCTCGCGGATGATCCGTAAATTGGCTTGTGCGCCGTTAAGCTGCTCCACCAACTGCACGATCTGCTGCTCCGATGAACTAAAGACCAGTATGTCATCCACATAGCGCTTATAGTATGACAGCTTGGCTATTTTTGCGGATATGCCTCTTTCTATCATCAACATACAGCAATCGGTGGTACAGGGCCTAGAAGGTCCACCCATTACCACTCCATTGACTTGACGGTATGGCGTATTAAAGTGGAAGCCATCATTTTCAGTACACAACAGCAATGATTCTTTTAGAAGTTTGACTGGGATTGATAACGAATAACCAGGTTGCTCAGTTGGTTCGCAGATGTAATCCATTGTCTGGTGTGGCGAAACGTTATTGAGCAGAGATTCCTCATCCATTGAACACTGTCTTATCGGACAGGTTGATGTTATCCAACTCATCGATAAGTTGAAAAGTATCCTTAAGACTATAGCGATTGGCCAGTTGTCTCAGCGGTGGAACTTCCGTCATTCAATTTGCACCTCAAGCTTGTTTGGTCGCACCCATATTTATTTATATAGTTGCATGTCGGTCATGGTTAATGGCACTAACGAGACAATACGAAATGCATGCATCTACTAGCTTTCGTCTTCTTACCGCATTGTTTGAAGCGATAGATGTTTGGAAACTAATTACGGTCAAGTTAGAAGAAACCATTGCAGCAATGCCCTCTACATAGTTCCGGTTGTGTTGTCCTTATTGCGACCGCTCTGGACGTCCGTAAGATTTGTTTCCAAGGACCTTTGGGGTACCGTTTCGGCACGACTATTGCCTTGGCTCGTGATTTGTAGTACGCAATTGACACGAACTGAAATATTACCTCTCGGCTCACGCCTAAAATTTTCTTAATCAGTCCGATTAGATCAAGAAGTGATGCCACAATCTATCTACCTCACTTGTATTACTTAATTCCATAACTGGCTTTGATTTGGTCTGCGGTGAAGGCCGCGATCAAGTAGATACTACGGAATGCTGCTAAAACACCTGCGAGAGATATTCTTTACTTTTACCGAAAATGAACCTGAATTTCAATTTTTTCTCTTAGTCGATCTCACTTTTCACTTCTTAATTTCCCGAATACTACAACAGTCTGCTCAATTCTTTCCCCCATCAGGCCACAAGGTACACACTTGCTGTTTTTCACTATCAAGGGTACAATCGCAGTCTCTAAGCATGTCCACTGTACTTAGTTACACTTGGCTCTTCATGTTTTTTCCTTGCTTTCTGATGACTTACTCTCTTGCTTACAGGCTAGTATAATTGTGGTGCTCGTCTTACATGGACGAATTATCGCGCAAACGAACCGTTGTGCGCCATGATTCTGTCACTGCCCGCGCTATTTCACGTCTAAGTCACGGCGTGTCGCAGCTCACCGCCTGTTCCACCAATGCGATCACTCCTCGCTGCATGTTCCGGAGTCGTCGAAGCAAATTGTCCACCAACGAAACATCCAAAAAACGTGTCCCTTTCGATCATCGATCGCCCACTGTAGAACAGCCCAGGTAAGTCTAACGCCTGTTCTGTTCTCTTCCTCTATTCACTGCTGAAAAATTGAAGCTGTATGGAGCGCACGTGCTTTGGCATTTGCAGTTTTATTTCCATTTGTTGCACGATGAACTCTGAGGGCACGTTATGGTGCATGATGACCCCACTTTTGCTCGGACGATCACTTTTTGACTTTTGAGCAAAACGGTTTCAGCCGTTTGCATATACTGTTCTATCGTCTTCTGATATTTCGGATCACCACCGGTAGGTGGCCGAGCGGATAAGGCGTCTACATTGTTGCCCAACTGCCGCCTGTTCGAATCTATGTAGGTACGTGCAATCTTGCAGTATCCATAATCCTTACACGACTGGTGGTGGTTGTGTGGCAACGAAGTGTCGGCGTACTGCTGATGCCTTTCTTTTCTTTTTACCGTCGATTCTTTTTTCAGCCCTACCTTGGATTGTGTACAGGAGAATCGCAGTGCCTCGAAGCGCAAATGGCAGTCAGACAAGCCTCCATCGCACAACAACATGGATGTTGACGAGGTTCCACCATCTCTTCACTCCGCTAAAGCTTCTCCGAATAGTTGTCCTGTTGCGTGCTTTGACGTTATGGCCAGTGAGCACTGTTTCCTCCCTGCTTCTTGTCAGTATTCTGATCGCTGTAGGTTCATTTGTTCAGACAACTTCGACTTACGTGCTGCCTCTCCATCCTGTTCTTCTATGCTCTCCCTTACTGCATCTTCTGTCGACGAAACGGATAGCGATTCATCGCAACAGCAAGAAGCTGATGCCGAGGATGAAGATGACAAGCAACAGAGTGTAAGTTTAAAAAAGAAAAGCAGTCACTCATACACAGACTTGCTCGGAATACCGTTCTCTTCAGCCACTATCAGAGGCATGCAGTCTGACAAGCGATCCGGAAAACTATTGCTGCCTCCAAAACACCACAATCAAGGCGGCGACTCATCCGATGGTCTTCCATTTGGTGTAAAGATTCCAAGGTTGACCGTTGATTCTACCTCCTCAATCTCCACATCCAGTAATCAGCGTCAAGGTAATCTTAAAAATGAAAATTTTCACGGCAGTTCAAGAAATCAAGCAGTACTGCTTTACGCAACAAATATGATGAATCAGCACACGTATCCCAGTGAGAAAGCCATCTCCAACAGTTCGCGGAAATCTGGTCGTCTTCGTTGCGTGCACTCGGAGTTCCAGTTAGTTGCGTTCATTGAATCGTACTTTTTGCCCGATAAACAACTATCAACTTAATAGTTGCTGATCTGTATTGCTTACTTTTTCCAACTATTAGTTTCGCTGGCCAGCCATGTTTTTCATCCCCTCTAAACTTAAATAAATAAATTTGTATATTTACCGATAGACGGTACACGGCCCCATAAGTGGTCACTCATCCATCCTGAACATTCCTAACCATTCCTAGCTACTGAAAATGCATTTGCCACCTAAACCTCATCACTTTGTAATACTATCCCCTCATGCCATAGTAACTAAATTACTCATTTATTGGTCGTTTAGAGGAACACGGATCTGTCTCATTGGGGCTGCAAGTTGGTACTGACGAAGTCAGCAATAGTTACTTATAAGGCTTTCTCATTTGGAACCGTGACCACAAATTAACCATACCTTCATGTGGTGCAACATACTTCGTACGATTTTGATCGAATGGGCCATACCATTGCCTGACGCTTTTTGATGCCTTACGAACTAATTCTGCCTGATTGATCAGTGACCGCGGATCATAGTAAATTTAGGGCAAGGACTGCACCCATTGCAGTAAAATTGACCCATCTTGCGGAATGTTTTCGTCTTCTCGTTTGGATGCGGCCTTTATTATTTATGTCTGGCCTGTGGCCGAATGGTCTACGCGCCTGGCTTGCAATCATAAGGTCACTGGTACGAATCACCGTAGGGGTGGGTGTCCTGGCGGTATACTCAGCCGCGCGGTAGCGAAACGCCCTTACAGCGTATGGCTGATGGTTTATTGCTATTTATGCCCAAGTTTGGGTTCCCTGTTGGTATTCCAGTCCCTCTGCTGACCATGATCGTGTCTCCCCAATTCCCAGCCTCACCTTGTATTGGTCGTCGCGCAATTTCGTGAGATCATCTTACCTGCTTCATAAGAAAGGTGGATAAGCGCTACTATTCTACTACCCATGCATCTTTCCCAAATGTCACTATTACTTTCTTCCCAATCCCCACCACTAATGTTCTTACCTAGTGTAACTGAAGACAGTTGCAGCACCACTCACTTTTTGATTTCCTACATCTGTATTACCATTATTTCTGAAGACCCACCAAGTTACACTGTCCGTTTTTTTAATGTCGCGTTCAATGTTTGTACCCCAAAACCTGTCAACTTGCTGCACCCGCGATCTCCTTGGATACTATAATTCTTGGTCTGTACTACATCTCTGACACTGAAACTTACAGCTCCCACGCAGTTGTCAGACTGCTTCACTTAGTTTAACCTCTCACCATTGGTTGTACGCGCCCGGTGGTGCCGATTCATCCGTCACAGTTCGAGATCATGTGTGCATCATACTCAACCCTAAGTCCTTACCCCTACTTGATTGTTGGATTCAAATGAACAACCATCTATGCGTAACCCACTTGACAACCTCGAGTGTGGTTAGCACGTAGAGCGGTGCTAGACACTTCCAGGAGGAAGTAAACTCTTCCAGGAAAATCCGTTGTTCAATAATTAAGCGACTCGAGCCAGCTACATATAACATAAGCATTAATTCATCGCAAGTACATTCGAATCCCTCACGAAACGCAGCATATATTTCCACATTAGTGAGAGCGGGTCACAATAACCAATTTTGACATCTAATCTAACCGTGTCAAAACTTGAACGTCCCTAGGTTGACCCATAAGTGTGTGCTGATCTTCGCTATTTGTATTGTCTCGAAAGCTGATCCTTTAACACGTTTTTGCGTTACGTTGTTGACTTCTGGTTTGGTCTGGGATTATAGCCCATCAAATCTCATAGAAACGGGAATATGTAACTTTTTTCTGTTTGTCACCTGTACCCTCACTTTCTGTAAACCGGAAATCACCAAAGACACTGTCTAACACGAAGTCAGCACACTCTCATGATTCGCTACTAGCCCGAATATAGTTCAGATTGTTTTGAATATAAATGCGTAAGTGGAATCGTCTTAGCTCTTCAGTAGCTCGGGTATTTAGATGTGATATGTTACTTGCGACTTCACGGGCACTTGTGGGCTTTTATTTCAATTGTGGTTTGACATTTAACTGTTTCAGCGTATGTCGCTAATGGATACTCCAATGGTTTTAAACAACTATGAAACAGTCTATTTCACTAATTGGTTGCTCTCAATATGTTTGCATTGTTTAAGGACTGCAACACATACAAACAAGCGGTCTTGACATGCGTACATACTTTGCGCTTAACTATCATTTTGTACATAGGAGTCGCTCTTGCTAGCCAACCTCAATACGACCGAACTGCGTCCATTACTTGTAGATGGTTGGTTTACTGTAGCTCGCCATTTTATTGTCATACCAGGTGCGTCTGAAGAGTACCATGAATGTTCCCATGTGTGAAAAACCGCGCTGGTTAGGATAAGGTGTCCACGCAAACACGTTGAGAAACATGCCAGCAAGCCCTCCTGTCGAGCAAATCACCGAAATTAAGCTGTGCTGCATGTTGTGACCAAGCTAAGGAAATCCGTGTGGGAACTCGTCATTGCAAAAGGGAGCAACGAGTTAACATTAACCTTTGCTTCATATTAGGCAGAACGGCGACGGAGACATAAAATATGAATTCTAGTGTACGGTGTTGAATCAGTGAATAAAAGGCGTGTGTTCTAGCGGTTTAAGCGCTTTAGAGACGGGAATGAAGGTGCCGAGAATATGCCGCGTTCGGATCAACCGTCAACAAGTGTAATCCTAGAAATCTTCTAACGACTGCGACGGATGCTTGCGAGTGATCGGCGGTTGTCTTTAAAGAATGGTATCAGAAGAGTTAAATATAAGCAAAGGTAGTATAGGCAGTATTGCTCACGGGAATTAAAAAACGGTAGGTTTAGTTCCGGATAGCCATTTCTCTCGGAAAGGACACTTAAGAGACTTAGCTCGTCCTTAAGCGTGTCCTCACTACAAATCCTTCTGGTCCTTTCGGTTTGACATCCAATCAAGTTGCGTTTCTGATTTATTGTGACTAAGCTGGCAAAATATACATGTTGTTCATTCTATGTTGTTTTTCTATGCACCCTAAGTTGGTCCGATCCATCTGGTCTTCTACTGATCTGGACGTCTAGGAAGGGCATCGTGCCATTGCGTTCAGGATTCTAGCGCGAACTTAGCATTAGCATGCGCTGAATTAAAATGGGATAAAATTTTCTCTGGGCAACAGTGACTGTCTGTCACGCAAAAGTATCATCCACATATCGTCCGTAATAGGGTAGACCGCTAATGACTTCACTCAGATAGGTATTCTCTAATTTGCTCATGAAGACCTCTGCTAGCAGCAGTCCAGGCGGTGAGCCCATTGCTACTCCATCCTTTTGTCTTCATATGGCCCGTTAAACTAAATTATATCTTACTAGTACACAGCATGAGTGGCTATTTCAATCGATTGTCCGAAAGACGGACACCCAATTGATGATCTCGAACGGTGTCACATATATAGTCTATTGTCTTCTAACGGAACATTGGTGAAGAGCGATACGACATCCGGTTAGCTGAAACTGTCAGTGGAGTCTAAGAAGCTGAATGTGTCTCCAAGGCTATACCTCGATGGAACTTTTTTCGCCGCGTATTTCGTCACGCAGGTCAAACTGGACGCAGAAGAGCGCAAACCATTCGAGGCCTTTGTTCAACGAATAGTCACAAAACAAGAGGAGGAACATTTAGCCTCATAGCGGCGCCAGGTTTGCACCGCATTAGCGGTTGACATCAAACTGGTGTACTCATTTCTACATGACCATCTGGAACTGTGCTTAAAAAATCTACGTGAGAACTTATTATTTCTAGACAAATGGAACGAAAGCAGGTCAATGAGTTTTTACGCAAGTAAATCTCAGTAACTCTACCTCAGTTGCTGTATACCAGAATAATCCATCACTCATATTGGCGCCGGCTGGTATCCTTAAGAACCCCAATCCTGCATTGTAATCTGAGGAGCGGCTTCGAGCCTGCGTAGGGACCGAGCGACCCTCACAGGTTTACTAACCTTGGTAGTTGCGTCACCTCTGATAGTCATATTTCCGAGGTTACTTCACATATCACCAAGGTCCTTGTAACTTCTCCGTCTCATTTATCCATGAAAGCAACGGAATTTTGGGGTATCATCCAAAAGTATGGTGTCAAACACTGTTATGAGCTTACTTTAACTTTTTGAACTAGAAATGTGACCATTTTATGTTGAATGTATTAAAGGCTGGTCATCTTCGGTCACCGGGGCTTACTAAGTATTGCTCACATCTGTTGAGAGAACTGTGTGAACACTTCTGAATTGCGGCAGTTGGTGTTCCGAATAAAGCCCTCTTAGTGCACCACGGAGTGTTTGCCGCTTGTTTTGGCTTGGCCATTTCCTTCCTACGTCTGTTGATCGTCAGCCGGCTCGTAACATTAAGGTTTACAAGCCTGCCTTACACTCCGAGTGCGCGGGTTCGTGCCTGCGTAGGCATCGGCTGACCATCGCAGTATCCTTAGTCCACATGCGACTGGTGGTGGTTGCGTTGCAGCGAAGCCTCGGTACTGCACACCGGTATGTTGGTGGCGCCTCTGATCGTCAACCTCGGGATACAGCGTTTACTGCTATCGTATCTAGTCGAACAGAACTGCTGGATGGCCGCTTAATTACGTGGTAGAGGACGATGAGTAAATTGATCTTCATCGGTTCAGGCTGATACAAGTCGATTTTTGTACCCAGATGGGTACATTTTCTACCTTTTGCAATACCAACTACGGATGGGCCAAAATCTAATCATCAAACTGTATGATAGTATAAATGAAAAAATAGCACGGTGCACATGTACCATTTAAGTAAACGGTCCCGCAACACAAGCAACAAATGCGTGTCTTTCAGAGAGGACCATTCGAATTTGCATTCTTTTGAGTGCACAGCGTCAAATGTTAGTTTTCCAATAAGAACGGTGCTTCCTCACTTTACCGAAACGTTTCTTGCTAATCCGTTCGAGTGTATTTATTGCTTTACGGCCGAAGCCAACAAATTGCGTACTATGCGCAGCACCTTGAAGCAGTGGTTTTCTCGAAAAAGTGTAGCCCATTCCGAGAAGCCGACAAATCCACAGTAGATACTGTACAAATGCAAAAGGCTGCCGCCGATTTAAATATCCCACTGTCTTCTTAGGTGAGGAGCCATGTGCTCATGACGCAGTTTACGTGGCGCTCCTGCATTTCGTCTTTTATCTACCTACCTGTAACTGGTCTGCGATGGACCTAACTAGATCACGTTGTCATAATTTACAGGTGGCGTGGTTCCATCCTACATTGCCGCTTGTACTGCTATACCTGCGTCGACTCCGATCATGCATTGGTACCCTGTCGTTTCTCCATAAACTTTGCCAGGAGGCGCACCAAGCGCTTCCACCGATTGAAAACTGATAAATTGTCTCAGCCCTCGGTCAAGCAAGCCTACAAGGCTGCACTGCATACCGAACTTTCGCTGTCTTGTCCTAATGACACTGCGCTTCAGTGGAATAGGATCTCGGCCGTCATGCAGGACGCAGGAGTCTCTGCTTGTGGCACTATCAATGGTCACCGCACCAGTCACTGGATATCCGAGAGGTTGGTGAACATGTTGAAATCCAAATAAACCCGACTGACTCTGAGCATAATGTTGCCAGGCGGACTATTAGGCGAAAATTAAAGCGAAACCTGTGTGCTAACAAGAAAGTCTGGTGGACCAGTCGGGCTTGAGAAATGGAGGAGGTGGGAGTCGTAGGCAATTACCGCAAACTCTTCCAGCTGATCGGCATCACCGGTCCCAGGAATCCAGACGTTAGTGAGACGATCAGAGACAGCACAGGTACTCTGATACACAATAAAGAACGCCGTATGGCTGGCTGGGCGGAACACTTTCAAGATCAGTTCAGTTGGCCACCCCTCCCGGACGTCTTCCTACTCAGGTGATGCAGGCTGAGTCATGAATGGTTAGTTTAGAGACTCCATCGGAGACTGAGGTCCGAAACGCAATCGCAACCCCCAATTGTTTGCGTGCTGTTGGCCCGGATTTCCTCGCATATACTCTCTTTAAGGATGAAGGTGAGGTCCTCTGCAAAGAGCTGACGTCCCAATTCGAACATATCCGGAAGGAAGAGAATGTTCCGGCTAATTGGAGTGAATCGATTATAGTGGCAATATACAATGGCAGTCGCACAGATTGTGCTGATCACAAAGTATTAGCCCAACACCAGTTGTGACAAAATTACTAACCTCGTTTCTCCTTCGTCGCCTCACTGCGGAGCGAGGATCACGGATTAGGGAAGAACAGGCAGGATTATGTCCAGGACGTGGCTGTATAGATCCTATATTCACTCTGCAGCGGTTATTAGAGCAACGCCACGCATACCGCAGATCGGCAATGGCTGTATTCAGTCGATCGATGCACTCTGTTCGAACTACTTGCCCGGAAAGGTGTTCCCACGAAATAGGTGAACATTTTACGTGCTTTATATTGGAACACCACAGGTCGCGTCAGTGTCTACGGTGGCCTATAGAATAGCTTTCCGACCACAAGTGGCGTTTGTCATGGTTGTCAGGTTTCCCTATTTTTTGTTCACTTTCCTCGTGGACTCCATCATGAAGTGTTCCCTTTCGGAATCTCACGAGGTCCTGCATAGTGGAATGCTAGTTGATCTTTATTATGCGGACGATATCGGCTTGCTGTTTAGCGATGTCACCGCGGTACAATCAACCCTGAGTTGTCTCTCTAGTGTGGTCCCATTATTTGGTATGCACTTCGCACCTTCAAATTGCAATGTGTTGCTGCAGAACAACCAGCCATTTGATGACCACCTGACTCTTGCTAATTAGGAAACCGAGCTGGTTGATTGATTCACTTACCTTGGAAGCTCCATTAGCAATGATGGGCACATTGGAACGGTAATTAGTTCACGCGTTGTTGAAAGCCAGAAGCCTGGGCACATGCTACGTATGCCTGTCCATCGCTTAGCTAGGATAGCCATGTTTAGTCTGACAGGTGTAGGTTGGCGCGAAGCTCGAGGTGAACAAAAGTTGACTTGGCAGCGGGAAATGAAGTCACTGACGATCAACTTGGGTGCTGTTGGCCCGTCTAGTCTTCCGGCCTGGAGTCCACGTGACCCGCTTTCTGCTTGCTCCAGGCTTTACAGGACATGGCTCGCAGTCGGCACCAGTGGCGTGTCTGCTGCCGTCTCCTAGTCTAATTGCCTGTTTGCAGTGTATTTGGTGCTGAGTTATCTGCGGGGTTAATGGCTGATTATGACACGGGACAGTGAAAGCCGCAAGGAAGCTGTCTCGCTGATGCCGCCTTATCTTTGCACGATAACCAGGTGTTTGTGACGATATGTTGTCTACACAAGGTGTAGGCGCCTTGACTCTGAATGTTTGCTCAGGACATTAAGGTTTTCAGATAACTCCTCCTCTTCTTATTCTTTATTTCATAGGTCATCATGGTTGTATGGCAGCGAACCATCAGTTCAAGTGGCTGATGTAACTGCTGTTGTTGATGATCTATCTACGTTCGACCACCGTTAATTCCAGGCACCTATTTTTCCTGGCCCATATTCCTTTGTACTCTACTTGCGTTTCATCTTACCTCTATCATTTGTTATTGTAGTTAACCTGGCGGTGATATTCATGGTAACCCTCTCCACTGCACTTCGCTACTTAGATCATTGTTGTTTAGCTTAACTGAACCTACGAAAACTAACCTAATTGATGCGCTTCATATTGGCCATCCTGGCTCACAGCGTCATCAGCAACAGTCATGCCATGCCTTCAGGACACCGATTGAGGTGAGTTAGACTGGAATTGCCTTCATCGGAAAATTGGTTGAGCTGATATTGGAATTCCCCGTTCGTTGTGTCAAGGTTACGGCTCCTAATTCGTAACTATACATCACGGTTGCGTGTTGTCCCTTCTTCAGAACTCACCTTCTTATCAGTAAGCGTCCACCATCGTGAAGAGTTGCACTCGGTAAAGATTTGAATGTTGTATTTTTGGGTGGTTTGATTCTACGCCGATCGACAATTCCTCTGTGCTTTTCGCAGCTGTTTGTTGCCAGCTTCATACGAAGCAGGGGGTTAAGTTTTAATCCAGGCGGGGCACTTCCTCATTTTACTTGTTCATCACGGTTGCTCACAATCCATGTTATTCTAACCCCAATGCGAAAGCACCAGACGATCGTTTCGCCCCATTGGGCTTGTCGGTGGTGAGCATTCGCTCGGTCCCGTGCTGCGGTCGAACCCATGGCCTCTAACAGCTTACGCACACTAGCCAGCAGCTTATGCCACTGAAGCAAACCGTTTGAACTTAAAATCTAACTGTGATATAGCGCGACTTATCCTCCACTGCTGTGCAAGATCCTATCGTTGCAGAGGACAGTGGTTGGCCTCAGAGGTTACGACTTCCACTACACAATAGCTATGTCAACATAGCATTTGAAGACCGAGGGCGTCTGTTTTGATTACTGAGTGGGATGATTTTGGATGAAGTTCCACTGGTTCATCCAAGCTGCTCAGAAGCCAGCCTAGTCTGACCCCAGTCCGGAAAAACACCAGACAATCGTTTCACCCTATTAGGGCTCACCGCTGATACGCATTCCATCGGTCCCTTGCTGGGGATCGAACCCCGAGTCGCTAGCAACTTACGCCAACTAGCCAACCTCTTATGCCACTGGGCCATAGAGGACCGAGGCAGACCGTCATAACTTCCAAATTAACTTAGAGTGCGCACCACTGACGAGCCTTACTGGGGCGAAACGACCGCCTGGTGCTTTTCCGGATTAATGATTTGACTATCTATCTTTGAGTTGCTAAGAGGAACCAGTAAAATTTCGTCGAAATTTCTCCCACTTATTAATAGATAGTTCTGTTCGTGCAGCTTTTGCTTTGCACACGGATTATCGTAAAACTCTTTTTAGGATTCATGCGTTATATTTTGGTCCTCATATCCGATTTCGTGACACCTGGTTTTATTCTCTGGTTATCGTTACTACTGCTGTTGGGATTTATTCAGAGGCTTGTTATTCATTATCGGAATCAGTCTGCTGTTAGCCAGTTCAGTTTCTGCCTGAGACTTTCTTTTCGCACTGTTTGAAAACCCGAGTTGACATCATTGGACGGCTGCATTTTTAACATTAGCATAGGTCCGTCACTCCATATTTGTATGTGCTTGTTGATTTCGCTAGCTACGACATTATTATGGTATCCACTACTTGTTTCGCGATGTTTTCTAATCCAGTTCTATGTCCAGGCACGGTAGCGTCTGCAAATGTGAATCCTCCACTTCATCATCATCATCCTCCGATGAATACTCTCTCAGCCCTGAATTTGGTCGAACATCTCCTGCAAGCTGTGAAGGTAACTCCCTGTCTTTTCTCTTTAGTTTCACACTCATTACAACCATTATTGTCGATAGTTCTTGCTACGTTGATGTGTGTGCACATACCTGCTTATCTGTTCACCAGATCGTTGGTCTTTTCTGTGTTCCCACCAGCTAGGTACTATGCGTCAATAGGGGAATAGATTACATCGAATCTATGTAAATAATTGGATTGCTATATCCGCTTTCCGTTGTTCGGTGGCATATATATTAGTTGGTACCCCATTTTCGCACTTTTCTGAACGAAGCCGTT